GTCTTTTTTCCAAAGAGTCTTAAATCAAGATACATTTACTTGAGAAGCAAAAGAAGTGTAAGAAGTCTTGTTCTCTGAGAAAATTATCAAAAAGAAGTATGTGATTAAAACAAGAACAAATATCAACAGACTCAAAGAGATCAACAGAAAAATCAACTTAGTTTGTATGGGGATGACATGTTTTTTCATAACCCATTGGCAAATAGTTGTGCTTGCTTTAAACATAAACTCACTTAATTTTGCTCAGTTTTTCAGTAAACAATACTGCATATCTTCATTTTGCATCTCAAGTAAATTAATCTTGATGTAAGAATGTTTAGTATGTATTTGTATTGGCAAACAAGACAAAAACACTGAGGAAGATATACATAGTTCTGGCATGAAACTCTAGATGGCGCAGTCCGATAGGTCTAACTTAATCTGACCTAATGACATCATTATCACATGGCACAGCTGATTGGTTCTCTCCTGTATCGGTAGCCAATGAGCTCGCTGCTCAACATTCAAATATATGACTAGTTCTTGCCGTAGCAGTTGCAGCTTGCTTCAGAAACCCTCCACCTTCCCCAGCTCCACCTGTATAGGTCTGCTACGAGGTGATTCATGTATGCTATATATGGGGGTTATTTCATGTATGTTATATTTGCAGCAGCAATATTTCTTACATGCTCACAGCAGCATGTTGTGGATGTATTGGCAGTAGCAAGTCTCGGTACTTGCTCTGCCGCAGCAGCAGCAGATCTATTCCGCCAAGACCAAATACATTAACATTGTCATGTACATTACCATGCCAATCCCTCCGAGAGTTGTCATGACAGAAATACATTTTTCAGTGCATGAAACATTTAATGCTATGACCCACAGAAACACTGAATAAGGATGAGTGGAAAAGTTATGAGATTTCCAGATCGACTCCAACCCCAATTAACCAATTAAAGCATCATTTGCACAATTCATGTAGTCATAAATGATTGTGACATGAAAAAAGGAGCCATTTTCAGCATATTAGGCATATGATTAAGAGTGAATGAATGTGTGCATATTGTCAAATAAAAACAATATTTCCAAATAGTTAAAACTGATTATTCTACAATGAATTCTAAAAATTATTTTACTTTTTAAAAACTCTTTTTGTAATATGTAATAATCTTTGATGTACTCAAACCAGAGTTATTAAAGTTAATTAAAACTAAAACTGAAACTAAATTTAAAGCCATTAAAAACATTCTTAAAATAAAATAAATGTTAACCATGATGTACTAAAATAACTAAATACTGAAATAAAAACAAAAACTACTAAACTACAAAATTACTAAAACTTTAACTAAAATAAAATCTCAAATATACAACAATAAGTGAATGACTGAAAGTTTTTTTGACTTACAGTATATGGAAATATGTGCTTTTAAGACCTGCAACCTTTATTTCTGACTTCATTTTCTGTGTTCAATATAATATATAATATTGATAATATGATATAATAAATAAAATATAATATGATATATGATATGATATGATATGATATGATATAATATAATATAATATAATATAATATAATATAATATAATATAATTGACCCTGCGACCCTATAGAGGATAATCAGTTTGAAGAATGAATGGGTGGATAAAATAATAATAATTACTGTTGGCATAAAATTATTTCTTTATCTCTTCTTTTCCTCTATCCTGATTCCTGTCCAGTCTTAAAATCCCAGCAGCTCCTGTATAGAGGAACATGATGAATGCTCCGCAATACTGCTGTAACACTTCCATAGTCCTGATGTAAGAGCTCCTAAACTCTAAAACACACACTGAACTTCTTACATGAGGGGTGTGTGGAGAGGTGTGCATGCATTAACACAAAGTTAAAGGAGAAATGAGTGATGAACATATGGTGTGGGCCTCCCATGAGCAGCCAAACACACACACACACACACACATTTGAGAGAGGAGGAACATGGAGCTTCTTTTGTGTGATGATGATGATGATGATGATGATGATAATGATACACTCACTCCACTAATGAATATATATGATACATGGTGAACAATCAATCAGAGGGCTGTCAGAACCCACACAGGTTCAGACGCTCAACGCATTAATCAAATGTATGTAGAACGCAGCCTCAGCGAAACCAAACCCAAGAGTCAACAACCCAGGAGCCTAACGAGGTCTGTTCAACCATCCTGATTCTAGTTCAAGCACTGCTATCTTCCAAAGAACCAGTCTTTCAGTGTAAACGGGATGTGTTTTCTGTAAAAAATACTTTCTAAAAACTGTAAGGCCTAGAGACTTGAAACTTGGTGAAATCAATTTGGGAACACAATGGCATGGACTCGTCCCGATTGGCCCAATGACATTGACATTTTTGACCATAACTCCTGAACCGTTTGTTATAGACCCATAACAATTATCATTTTAAACTGTTGATTCATCATCGTTCAAACTTGGCATGGGTCACTTTTCCTTAAATGACTATAACTCTTGAAAGGGATGAGATATTTTAATTTGGCACTCTTATGTATAGGCTCAATTTAAAGAATGTTGCAAAAAATGTGATTTTAAGTGCTTAGAGGTTTGCTAAATAATACATGATATCTTTTTATGCACACACTTAAATATCTTAAAGTGTCTAAACCACGATAATTGCTTTTATGGAGCTGTTTTTGTTATTATTTTTTGCAAATCTGTTTGGTTTAGTTCACATTTCACCTTTAAATATCCATGTGAATGTTAAAAATTGCATGTTACCTGTCAACATTGCTAATTATTTGAAAATATTACAAAAACAAATAGTACAATAATATGATAACAAACAGTAGCAAAATTTTGATTTAAAACAATACCTAACATTACCATTGTTTAAAATGTGTGTTTCACTGATAGTTTTAAACACTAAGGAATTTAGACATCACAATATTATAATGAACTATAAGAAGGATGTTTCTTTCATGACGATCATGTTGAGACTTGCTAAGGATTACTTTAGTAGCTAGTAGTTTTGGTAACACTTTCTATGAAGCCTGTATTTATAATACATTATAAGGGTATTCTTAAGGCATTATAATGGTTACTACCCAGAAGGTTGGGTTAAACATTTAACCCAACCGCTGGGTCAAAACAGCCCAGTTGCTGAGTTTGTCCCTATTTTACCCAGCACTGGGTTGTATTTAACCCAGCATTTTTAGAGTGTATAAGGTTTTTTATAATGCATTATGCATTCATTATAATGCCTTAAGAATACCCTTATAATGTATTACACACTAAAAAATGCTGGGTTATTTCAACCCAACTTTGCGTCAAATTTGGACTAACCCAACTTTTGGGTTAAAATTTTAATGTAAAAATGTAACCCAACAGTTGGGTTAGTCCATATTTGACCGAAAGTTGGGTTGAAACAACCCAGCATTTTTAGAGTGTATAAATACGGGCTTCATAGAAAGTGTTACCGTAGTTTTTAATAAAGGTTAACTTTAAGTGAGCATTAGATTAAGTTAATTTAACAGGTGGAAATGAGAGTGTTACCAAACACACATAAAATTAGCCACATGATTGTGCATCTTTATAAATCAGTAGTTTCTGCCAGTAAAAAAAAAACATTTAAAAAACATGCAAAGACAGATATTTTCAGCATATACTGTATTTATACTGCACCAGACCTGAACTCTTGTGTTTCTAAGAAATATATTTTATTTGCTATATAAACAATGAAGTGAAAGAAGTCCGTAATATCATTCATTTGAAAACCCAAGGTATAGGTTCCTTTCCCTTCCTTATAATGCATTGCCCTTTGTTGCTTGGAAACGTACCGCAATAGACTGACCTGAGAATTCAGCAGCTGCTCACAGTAACTGCAAGCACAAGGTAAAGGTGTCTAACTGCCAATACCAGTCTATCCAGCATATGCTGACACTGATCCGATACACTAATAACAGCTGGGCACATTTGGTTGTGGTTTATTTTGTAATTTCCAGATGTTTATGATCATTCCAAGCTGAATTAACTTTGTGCAAAATACATTTTGGCATACACTACTATCTTATGTTTCTGAAGAAGAGAGAGAGAGAGATTTGTTTATTCCCGTGACAGGGACAAACAGCCTGAGGAGTCTGCAGCTAGTGAAGTGAATCATGAAATACACAAACAAGCAAAGCTGAAACACAGGATGGATAAACACTGAAAATGGAAAGAGAAAGACAAGAACATGCATCACTGGACAGGGCAGGACAACAATATAAGACAAGAAAAAAGATGAGAAAAGCTGAGCATTGATAAATTATTGTAAGCTCAATATCTTCAGTCAGTTGCCTACACACTATTTTATAATAATATTTTATGCTATGAAGTAAAGCAATCATGTTGTTTCAAATTAAACCCTTTTAAAACTAGATTTACTGTATTGTTGTCATAAACTACAGTAGGATTGCCGCTGGAGAGTATTGAATTCACTAAAACTAATTAACTCGCTACCAAAACAATTATGTATCAATATTTTGCGTATTGAAAGCATTATTTAGTTTATATTAAATATTTTTTACACTTACACTCATAAGACAGATACAAAACGAACCACTACTCTCAAACCCTCAAACTTTGATAATAGCATCATATGACACTTATTGTGACAGAAGAGGAGAGAAAATAACTATTGTATCCCAAAAACTCACATACAGCATCATATGTGATCAATTTTCTTCCAGCACCTGATCATAAGTTAGCGTTTCATTAAAGACCGTTTTCAAATCTGACATTCAACCTTAAATCTCAACACAGCAATACAAACTCCTCATTTCAAACAATTAGGATAAAATCTTGATCCGCAAGTTTTCAAAATTATGAACATTTGAATGCACAGGTCATTTCAGAAGAAGCGCACATTTAGTAAACCCTCTCAGCTACCACAAATTCATTTTTACCCACTGCTTTGTTAAGTTTAAAGCGTTTTGTCTCATAAATGCATCATATCCTGTATTTGTGTGAAGATGTGTTGATGTTCTTACCTCTGTGCACGCAGGAGAGCCCGAGCGCGAGCAGCATCAGGACCAATATTCGTTTCATTGTAGTAAAACTCCAGGTCTTTCTGATCTCTCTCACACTAACACAACGAGAAGATTCAGTGAGATGTTTAAATATACATCTAAATTAAACTGCACAATCAATAAGAGTTGCTGAAAGATTTCAGGTGAGCTGATGCTCTGTCGCGTGAAAGAGCTTGATACTCTGAGA